GGTTTGGCCTTTTCTGTCTTTTAATAGAAGTTCTTTTCCTTGAGCACCTACTTCTCTGCTGCTCCATAACTGCTTATTTCCTTTGACATTAACTCTTTTCAATTGCTATTTAAAAAAAAAACAGGTGCTGCCAGTGAAGAGTTCTCATTTGTAGTTCATGTGTCTCATGAGTTGAAAGAGGTTGGCGGCGAGCATTTCCTGAACGAGAAGACCACTGTGTTTTGGGACTAAGTTGACATTAACGAACTGTCATTGCTGGACCTTGCTAGTTCAGCTCATGCCAGATGTAAACGTTTATAACTTTCTTCATTTCCCTGCCTTATTAAGTATTTCCAGCATACTAATGTGGGTTAATTTGCATGGAAGTTCTCGAAGGCCATCAAGTCAAGGCTCTCAATCCTCACAGATTGCAAGCCAAGTGACTCAAGTAGAGCAGCAGTGAAGAGTAGATTTAGGTCATGTAGTGGGCAGTTAGGTAGTTGTGAATGGTTATTTTGAACTTTTAAGCCTCTAAGGCCTTTTGCAAATCAATATGGATTTGCCATTTTGTCATACAAGTTCATGGAAAAGGAACTTGTTAATTATGCATGACTCTTTTGGACAACATAGCCGTTAGTGCACTAATTATGAATGAATCGTAGATGTGATATGTTTGTTTCCAACTTAAATGTCAAATAGTGTCATGCAGAACAGTTATGTATTGAAGTGTGGTTCCAAATCCTGCTTTCTCTAGTGACCAAATCTGGACCACACTTGTTTTTTGAGTGAACAAAAATGTGATCCTTTACATGTTTTTGAGTGACCAAATGTGGTCCTTTACATGTTTTTTAGTGACTAAATGTGGACATTTACAAAATTTGGAGTGACTGAATGAGAAATAAGTTATCTTTTTGAGTGACCAACGATAAGTATTACATGGATTATTAGTGACAATTTTATCCGAACAACTTTCTGCATGGTCAATCGTACAATTAACATAACTTTCAGATACAAAACGTGAAATTATTTTTTTCTAGGGTTACAGTCTACAATACAAAAACGAAAAATTACATCAGCAAGGTTCAGTGAATAGCTTCTTACATTCCCAATCCCATCCAGATGAAAGAAAAGACAAGAGGAATCACAATGAAGATGAACATTGGGCATCCATTAGCTTTGGACCCTTTCCCATTTTGCCTCTTTTCTAGTTCTGGAATCCGATGATGAAAGTTCAACACCACAAACTTCATATGTTCATCAAGTACTGGGGCATGCCATCTGGGGCATGCCATCTGAAGAAATGACATGCCCCATTTTTCTACAGATCCAAGCACAAAAACAGAGAGGGATGAAGGAGAGGATGGTCGAATGGTATACAAATTAAAGCAGAAAAGTCAGAAATCTTACCTCATAGGGTTATAGGTATAATATGCCCCTCTACTATGACGTTTTATCAAACATGTCCTTCTACTATTTTTTTACATCAAACATGCCCCTGTACTTTGAAAAAATTATCAAACATGCCCTTTTGTTTAAATTTTCATCCAAAAACCATTAACCAAGTTCGAACTTTGGTCAGGGCGGCAAAAATGCCTAAAATATCCCTAATAATTTAACTTTAGAATTTTTTTTGTTCTTTTGTATAGCCCAATAATTCAAATAATTTACTTTGATGAGACCCAGAGAAATAAAACGGGAGACAAAACTGACATCATCGCTCCCATTTGTTGATGTCGGGTCGTCTAAATCTCGGTTCAACCATGATTGACGATTTTTTCAATGAAAATTTTAATAGAAGGGCATATTTCATAATTTTTTCAAAGTACAAGGGCATGTTTGATGTAAAAAAATAGTAGAGGGGCATGTTTGATAAAACGTCATAGTAGAGGGGCATATTATACCTATAACCCTACCTCATACTTGCTGCACCCGTAGAACCTCCTCCCTGGATTCGCCTCTGTACAGCTTGTCTTGAGATCTGATGCTAATCCACAACGACAGAAAGGTGCCACCATTAGGAGAGGAGAAGGGGATGAGAAGAAAACAGAGATGTGAAGGTTTTGGGAAGATGATAGGATTCTTGTGGCCATAAAACCACATAAATATGATAGGTGGGTTGGTGGGTTGGGTCGAGCCGGGTCTGGGTTGGTTTGGTTAGAGGGTTGGTTAGGTTTAGCTGACATGGCGGGTTAAATGACATGGCGGGTCGAGTCAGCCAATTTTCGGGTTAAAAAATGCTGATTAGGCGAATTCGTCAGCCACGTCATCACTTAACGGGCGCCGTTAACGGTGTTGGACGACAGCTAACGGAGAGTGACCATAAGTGAACGGTTTTTGTAAAGTTAGGTACCACAAATGGATTTAAATATTTCGAATGACCACACATGAACGTTTTTTGTAATCTTAGAGACCAATCATGCAATTAACCCATTGTTTACTGAATTGCTATTCGTCGCCCTATAATTCAAATTTTATCGCCCTAAAACACAATAAATTGACATATTTACCCCTCAGTCCGATTTCAATTCTAAGCGCTAATCAAACAATCCCTAGCCCCTTCCACACCCCAATCCAAATCCGCCGCCGCTTAAATTGAAGATGGCGTCGCCATCTTCGTCGCCTCTGCAAGCTTGCCTCCCTTCATGTTCATCCTTGAGCAATCACTAACGAAAGGGTAGAAGAGGGCCAGAAATCAAGCAATGATCTGCTTCTGATGGAGTTCAGGATGCCCAATCTGGGGGCTGGGCACGATCCTTCTCCTCCACTTCCCCTTCCTCGAACAAACAAAGCTCGCCATCACAAACACGTTTGAATTTAAGAGTGCTGTTGTTGTATGTCTGCTGCAATTTACAATCTTAGTGAAGCAGTTAGGATGATGGAGAACAATGATATATAGTGCTGCCGCTGACAAGTGTTTGTGGCCATTTAATTGGTAATGGTTGTGTACAGTTAAAGATTAATTCGACGGAGATGAGAAACCAGAGGAGTGTTCGCTTCTTTGTTTCTTTGGTCGTATTTCAATTTTTGTTATTTGGTGTAGTATATGAGTTTATTTTGGGTTTAAGGGTTTGATAGACAAATAAAAGCATTAAGGGCATTAAAGTAAATTTAATTTAATTAGGGCGACGAATAAGGAGTTTTAGGGCGACGAATAGCAATGCCCATTGTTTACTATTCCATTCTTGACCATATATTTGTACCGTTTCTAATGAGCAGTTACTTAACTAGTATTGCAGTGGAATGGGGCGGGATGATAATCATTTAGTAAGGTAGCTCGATGATAGTCCCTTTCATTTTCGTATGTTAATGTTTTCATCAATGGTTTTGGTAGTATGGGTGTTGTTGGTAAGATTACACGTTATTTCAGCCTTGGGGTGGAATCCAAACAATTCCTCCTTTTAATCTATTTCCTTTTTTTTTTCCTCATTTCCTTTATGATATGTAGGGCCGTAAATGAGTCCAGTTGAGTTTTGCTAAGTTTGAGTTCGGCTTGTTTCTTAACGAACCGAGTTAGGCCGAGTTTTGTATAAACTTGAGCTTGGCTCGTTTTTCAACGAATCAATGTCGAACTTTGCTCATTAAGAAGCTCATGGGCTCTTCTTGAGTTTGACTCATCAATAAGCTCATGTGCTCGACCATTTATAAGTCTAAATGGTTGAACCGTTAAATTAAACTCTAACATAATTTACAAATTGAATACCATTATAATTATATGTTATATATGATACATGTTGTTAATGAAAAAAAGAATAATAGTCAATTTGCAGGGAATCCAAAGTGTAATTGCTAGGATATGGTGGGGTAAAAAATATAAAGATACAATAATTTATTGAATAAAATGGAAAGAGGTATGTGATTACAAGAATGCTAGTGGACTCGATTTCAAGGACACGAGAACATTGAATATGTTGGAAGAATAGGTATGGGACACCATAAGTAGACCAAAGTCTTTAATACCTAGACTGCTCAAAGCCAAATGTTTTCCAAAATGTGATATCCTAAATGACAAGACAGAAAACAACCCTAGCTACATATTGAAGGAGCTTAATGGGAGCCAAAGAAGAAATCATGAACGAGTTCCGGTGGAGGGTAGCATACAGAAGTGAGATTTCAATTTGGAAGGATTGTTGGGTTCCGGCGCACAAAAACTTAACTAGTTCACAACATAAAACGAAGAACGAACAAACTGCAACCGTGGATTCTATTATTCGATGGATAAAGACAATACATGTTGGGATGAAATAAAATTGCACGTGTTATTTTTTTTTATAAAGGTGATATAAGTTTGATTTTAATTAGGTGTTAGTTAATAGATTCAAACTTGACATCTCCAAGTTCAAGTTCAGCAGGATTACTACTAGATCAAACCCTTATTCGCAAGTGAAAGCTTTATTTTCACATGAAGAACAATTGGCTATTTGCCAATTACCTCTTAGGGAACATTCAGGGGAGGATACAACAATTTGGACTGAAACAGAAAATGGAATCTACTCGGTGACCTCCTATATGAAAATTCGGAATGACAATGATTTGACAGATCAAGAGCACAATCCAGTCTATTACTAGAGCAATGGTACTGGAAACATATTTGGAATCTCTCGATTCAACCTAAGCTAAAATTTTTTTTTTTTGGAAAATCAGTAAAGACATCATACCTATGGTTGTGATGTGAACATCGCTCTTGAATTGCAGATGCAAGGCCAAATTGTCCATTCTGTGGACTCCATGAAACCCAACTCCACAGTCTCCGTGAATGTGACTGGACGAGAATACTTTGGGAGCCTTGTGCGGATTCTAACATCTTCCCAAAAAAGGAAGGTCGGTATGGTTATTCCGAACGATTTAAATACTAGTTAATATGATACTAACCACTATAAAGTCAACACCCTATTTTCTCTCGTGCGATAGTTCAATTTTTTACCGATCTACGATGGCTCAACAAATTTGCAATTGTTTCCCAATTAAATTCATCCATTGACAAACATCCATTTCTCTTAAATCTCATTAAGGAACAGTACTATACATCTCAGCAATGTTCATTTGCTTCTTATGTGCCACTTTTTCACCCACTCTTTCTCTCTCTCTCTCAGATAGTTGAGAGTGTTCTTCAATCCATCCAACCGTTTCTTTCCCCGCCAACACAATACACACTTCATTCCCTGCGTTACGCAAGGAGTCTCGTACCTCAGTCACTGACAATCATGGACTGGTAACCATCTTCTACCTTGCGGAGCTTTGGCAGTTTCTTTCTCAAGTGAGAAAGATGCTGGCAGCAGCATATCCCTGTTTCGCCTCCGCCTCTGCAAGTGTGCAAAGCTTACACAGGCGGCACTCCATACTTCCCAAGCCCAGCGGCATCCATCGCCTGCGCTTCTTCCAATGTGGTCAGTATTTGCGGTATCGACATCCCTCCCGAAATCACGATTTCTAGCCCAGCAACCAAACAGAAACCCATAAGCATGATTACGAATTTGGGTATGTTTCAAAATATATACAGAGTAATACAGAAAAAAGAAATCAGCTCACCGATTCCTTCCCGAACCGACAGATTAGGCCTCATCACATCTTTCGAGCTGACGAGATATATGTCCCCAAGGTAGAGATGGTTGGTCGGAACATAAACGCAGCAGAGCTCCTCTGTAGCCAGGTTCCCGCGCAGAAGCACCGTTGAGGTAATGAACCCAAACGCGTATTCCCCGTTGCGTGGATGCCTTATGATGGCGACCTCCTTGAAGGCATGCGAATTATGATCTGCAAACCAAGTCAGACGTTTTTTTTTCCTTCCTTAAACTCTTTTTTTTTTCTTCCTTCAATTGTTGAACAGTGGTTATTGGATATGTATTACTGCTCACCTGGCGAGATAGCTGCGCTGATTTGCTTAGAAGCAGAGTAGATGTAGCTGACGAATGGCATTTTGTTGATGAACCACTCTCCCAAGCTGAGAACAGAAGCTCCCAACCAGGAGGACATGAACACGCCGACTAGGAATATGAATGTGAGGGAGGTCACAAATCCAAGCCCTGCCCATTGAACAGTAGTTTGTTTTGGTATGTTCTTGGTATGACAGAATTGGAAGGAAAGTTTAAGAATGATGATAACTTGTACCCACCAAATACATTGATTCCGAGCAGAGCATAGATGGGGGAGAAGAAACTATCGACGAATCGGATGAACCACCATGTGACACAGAATGTGATGGCTATCGGAAGCAAAATTACACTGCAGCAGTAATCAAGAACGACATGAAACATTTCGCTACACAATGTATGAATCTAACAGTAAAAATTTACATAGTGGGGGTACAAACCTTCCTGTGATGAACTTCTTCCACGCCCAGCTCCGGATTAGCTTTGAAATAGCCTGTTCAAGGAAGCAGTCGCGGAGTTAAATTCATATACCCAAATTACAAATAAGAAAAATTACCACAAAACCCTAATTCTGTATCTGATCGTTGGCGAGAAAAAATGCGGCGATATTTCAGATAGACGAACAAGGGAAACCGAGAAATCGTTTCATTCATCATGAAAATCTCTAATCACCAAACGAACGAGCGATCACGTTGGAGACCAGAATGAGAAATGGGGAAAAGGGAGAGAACCCTAATCGGGAAATGGGATAAGAGAATGGAGAATTCATGGACCTCTTTTCCGGAGCTATGGGAGATGACTGCGGGGGAGACGACGGAGGCAGAGGAATTGGAGCCACCATTGGTGATGCTCTCCTGAACCTGTTTGTTGGGTTGAATGGGTATCAGTCGCTCCAGATCCCTCTCCTTCGACGCCATTGCCGCCAATCTCGACGAATTCATTCCGCGCTTGGTCGCCTCTTCTCTTTTATGGCGCTCCAGAATCGTTCTTCGTGCTGTTTCTTAGTAACAGTGTCTGGTGTCTGGCGCTCGCTAGCTGGAAAAAAGAATGAGAAATAATAAGCAACGAACTCTCTTTTTGTCGCTATTTCTGTTTTTTTTCTTCTTTCTTACCTTCCATATGGGCCTCCTAACAGCGACCGTTAGGCTCAAATGGTTTCGGCCCAACGTAATGTCAACTTCGGCCCACTAGTGGTTCAGGCCCAAAGACACGAGAAAATAAAAATAGTTGCCGTTGGTTGGTTCTTTTCGTCGGCGGGAAGGCGTTGTATGTATCTTGGAAGATTCTTTCTCCTTCTCCGGTCTCGATCCTCTGCCTGGGGACAGGAATCGGGGAACAGGAAATTTGTCTGCTCTTGCTTATTTTATCGGCGACTGGAAAAACTGAGTGCTTTCTAAACCAGCCACTCAGCCAGTGAAGCAGAATATATTCTGGTGGAATTCCGACGGCGAGGATTGGGGAATCGGGTCGGAGAAAGGTGGGTCTCCGATCAAGAAGAAATGATAACTCGTTCCAAGCTCGTAGAGCAGCTCTTCGAAGATTACCGGATCCGTGCTCAACACAGGTGTCCTGCGCTCACCATCTTCTCCCCCAAGCCGCACCTCGTTTCCTGGTAAACACAATTTCCTCCTCTACTTTCCTCCGTCCAGTTCTCGAATCGAATTCATTTCTCGTTCCCTGGATATGGAGGGGTTCTGGTTGATTTCCTATGATCAGCGGGTTTAAAAACGCCGGAAGAGTTGAAAGGGATCACGATGAACTTGGTTAATTGGACAATTTAGAGGCGTCCTTTAAATTCTAGGGTTTAGGTCTTTGGTTTTTTTTTCTCCGAAAGGCGGGCCCTTTTAGTGTTGATCATCATAATTCAGTTTCTGCTTCGAGTTTTCAGTCGAGATTAAGGGATATTAGAGTTACTGTTAGATCGATTCAAGCCTCAGCTGAACTATAGTTTCCAGCCCCTAAGCAACATCTATGGAATGGAAGTATATGAATATTAAAGAGCTATCATCCCAAGCTTACTAACTCTCAAGCATCTACAAATTGGTCTTTCTGACACTCTGTCCGTTGTCTAACTTTGTGCAGGGCTGATGTTGCCGTGGCTCTTGTCTGGGCATTGGTGTTCAGCATGCTTGTGATCTTGTCCTACGCATCCATTCATTTTCGACACTTTTGGGTTTCAGTTGTTGAAATCTGTCTTGCAATCTTGCTTCTTGTACGCCTCCGAAGTTCAAGGCAAGCACTGGCCAAGAAGAGGGACAGAGGGCTGCCTTTATCGATGTAAATAACTTCCCTGAAGACTGATGAAGAGAACGAAACAACTAGTGCAGAATGATCTTCTGATGCTTGAGGGTTTCTTGTTACGTCTAACTGATGGGTTCTAAAACTTGGAGCACTTAGTCATCCGGAAAAATCTGGTTCACCGTGTCTGGAATGGTATGCATTTTCTTTCCTCTTGACCGATGTTGTTACATTACCATACCCAAAACATGAGGATACTGCATTATGCTCTCTTTTTCTCTGGCATGTCAGCTAAGGGCAGCGACATGACAATTTTTCGCTCTAGCTGGCTTGTAAATCTTTTTAGTTTAGGAGAAGCCGTCTGAGATGGGATCCTGGAGTTGAAGAATCAGCTGTAAAAAAAATTGCTTCCTCAATTCAAATTGGCCCTGTATTCCCCAGTTTGACTTCTTTGGCAAGATATGTATCTATTGTATTGTCTGCAGTTTGCAATCATCCCCACTTATTTGTTTGAAGATATGATGGGTTAGAACTTGGTTATTAACTTGTTTTAAGCGGCTGAGATAATTGATGTCAGCCATTTGTCATTGCTTGAACCGCAAAGAGTTTAAATCCATCAAATATAACATTTAGAATATGCTGCGTGAATTATGAAGCGTTGTTTGTAGCGAAGAAGGAAACATGTGTGCATGTTTGCAGGGACCATATGTCTCACTAGTCTACAACCGCGCGCTCACTGGTTGAGATTATGCATGTTTCTAGTACACTTTTGTTCGATGCCCCCATTCTCTTGTGGGTTGCTCTGTATTCCAAAGTCAACTAAAGAAGCCCAGATGGGACACGGGAAGCATGATTGGCATATTTAGCGACGCAACGTGATGATGAGGAAGCTTAAGTACTTTTTTTTTTGTGTGTGTGGAAGAAAACAGACGTCAATGACGTCTAGATCACATTAGAAATAACACAATTCATGGTAATGTCCATGGTATCATAGGAAAGCGAGTACAATAGGTTCGGGTCGCACTCATCGAATAGATATGTGCCAAAAGGAACAAAGTGACCCTTACTTGCCAAAAAATGGACTGCACAATTACATTTTCTACAGACATGTGAGATCCTACATCCCACTCTCTATCCAAAATAGTGATACTGTCAATATGTTTGACCAACAAGCCATAAATATGGTTCGTGCCCTTCCTATTCTTGATGAGTGCAACTGCCGTGGAAGAGTCAAGGTTTAACTCAATCTTCCTACTGCCCTTCTAACAAGCAATTTCGAGTCCTTCAGTAGCTCGATTTAGTTCAGCTCAAGTAATGGAGCAGACTCCCAAATTGCTGGTGAAGGCTCCCTTGCATCTTCCAAGATGATCACACAAAAGACCACCTGTCGCAGCTTTCCTAGTTGAAGTATCCACCGAGCCTCGGTCTGAACTTGAATCCATTCCTCTCGCGAGGGAGACCATCCAATATGTTGGGTACTACTAAGCTTGTATAATGCTACGTTGAGCATTCTCATGAGCCTGGTTGTTGATGTTGAACCAGGAGATAATCCTTTGGATAGTTCCATTTTCAGAAAAAAGACTTCCCTTCCACGACTCCCTCGTTTCTTTCCTTCCACAACATCCAACAGATGAGTCCAAATTCAGTTCCTGTCTTCCCAGTGTGAAGATTCTTAGAAAGCCAACTCTGGAAATCAACGTTCACGTTATTCTCCTTGAGCTTGTCTCTAAAGTGATTCCAAACTCCTACTGTCATCGAGCAGCTTCAGAGGATGTGCTCAAGTGTCTCCTCCACTCTAGTGCAGTGATCACAGTTTCCATTGCTTGTGAGTTTATGTCTCTCTCTTTCATTATGGGTGAGGAGTCTGTTGTGAGTTGCAAGCCACAAGAAGAATAAGACACAATTGGGGCCTTTCCATTACCACAGATCCTTCCAATTCTTCTTAGGGTCTGTTTCGTTGTTTCCCGCTACAAGATCATAAGGCGACTTCAAGCGGAATCGACTATCCTTCTCCTTCCCCGGTAGCGTTCTGTCCTCTCCTAGTCTTGGTTTTGGGCTATCCTTTCCTACAATATGCACACGAATCTCATCAGGTAGGTAAGACCTAAGTCGTTGCCAGTCCCACTCACATGCTTCATTTGTCCATTCAGCCACAGATGTGAGTCGTTCTTCGTCTGTCAACGTCTTTAGGGAGAACTCTACAAGATTCCCTCCTTTATCGAGCCATGGATGGGTCCCAAATCATGTAGATTCACCATCATGAACACTCCAAACCATTGCTTGCTGCATCAAAGCCATTACTTTCTCAATAGCTTTCCAATGGTTGGAATGGTTGCTCTTTTTCATGGCTGCAATCTTCCATTCCTTGTGGTGGATGTACTTCCCTTGTAGAACCTGCACCCAAAGATCAATCTCGTTATTCAGTATCTGCCAAGCCAGCTTAATCATGTAGGCCATGTCTAAGCTTATAGCAGGCCTGAGGCTGAGTCCTCAAGTTTTTAGGTTTACAGATAGAGTCTCAATTAACAAGATGTACTTTTCTTTGTCCTGAAAAAACTCCCCACGCGAACCCTATAATCCTACAATCAATGGCATCACAGACTGAAGCTGGGAGAGCAAATTCTGCTTAGCATAGGATGGGATGGAACTAGGGACAGAAACATCAAGGGTAGCTCTCACTACAAGGGAGAGTGTTCTTGCCTTCCAATCATAGAGCTTATGATCAATTTTATCTAAGATAATATCGATAAATGTTTCGATACAATCTACGCTCAAGTACTAATAGCATTAGAAATGATAAAATCATAGGATGTCCTAGGGTAGTATCCTTTGAAGTCTTCTAATGCACAATTACTCACACCAACCATCATGACATACATGAGTAACATAAAGACATTTAGGGGTTTTCGATACGCAAACAAACAAAACAAGAAAAGTAAAGTTGTTTAGGGGTCTTCGATTTATAGATTCAAAAAAAAGTAAAGATATGCTATTGTAAGAGGTAGTGAACTCAAAATCTATCATGCATACTAGGGCCCATTCATATATATCATGCATCGATGATTGGTGTGAGTAATTGTGCATGCACCTATTGCGATATATATTTAACTAGCTAATGTGTGATTTTGCTTCATGTCATTATCTAATTAATGAAGAACAAGGAAGTTAGGATAGCATATAGTTAATTGTGGGCTTCTACGAACCATAGTTATATCATCGATTATCTAACAATCAAGCATTGATACTGCTCGAAGCATACATGGTTGATCAAGCCTCCCATACTCGTGTAGCATCAATGGGATATCCCTAGAGGGTAATTTCTTATCAATCTAGGAAATATTAAGCACAATGCATATATTAGCATACACTAAAGATCATAAGCATCGATGACACAAGGGCATTCATACTATTGATATATGATATATGATATATGATTGACCATCACAAGCATTTAATACAAAAAGCATCAATACATAGCAATAGGCATCGAAAATCTCATAGACACAAGCATGAGATGAAATCATAGCATTCATTCACATAACTTTTCACACTATTATCAATACAAAAAGAATGGAAAAATTGGATTCAATTGTCAACTGCTCCTATCGGAAATAGGATTAATAATCGAAACCACATCCGAGTACAATCAATTTTGACTAGCTACATAGAGGAGAAGGAAGGTACCATCGTTGATGATGACAACATCTCCTTAGTTGGGGACCCCCTACTTATACTAAACTATCACCCAAGTAGAGTGTTACAAAGAATTTGTGTGTTTGTGCAGCCTTAATAAACTAATGAGTCATGCCCTCTATTTATAGGGGAGTATCTCGGCCTAAATCAAAATAAGACAAATGCACGTTCACTTGTGACAGTTGAAACCGGAAAAATCAAAATAAGACAAATCAACCTATCAATAAGGTTAATTCCTTTGACTTTCTCGTCTTTAATAAACCATGACACAGTTCAACAAGTGGTGATAGATTTTAGAGTTTAGGATGAGTAGGAGCATCAACTCAATTCGAACTTCAAGTCATCTAAGTCCCTTTTCTGAAAAATCAAGAGGTATTACTTCTCACCAAGATGACAAATAGCACCAATGTTGGAAGCTTTATAACCATCTCGAGGATCCAAACTCGATCTAAGCTTAAGAAGCTCAAGTACTTCGTCATCAGACCTTTCTCATATTTCATCTATCTGAACATTAATGATGGCATTGAACACATTAAAATAAAAAAGTGTTCATCTGTTATGCCATCTTGCCACCTTTTTGGGATTGGAAGGAGCAATGAGTCCTTTTTGTCTAGGTGGGATTGGGATCCATAGAAAAAATTTCGTCATTGGTGGGGCAAAAAATATAATTGAATAATTTTTTATTTAGGGATCACGTGGTGAGATTGTGGGGCTAACAAAATGAATTGAAAAAATGAGGCAGTCAGTCATTTATCTTCCATAAATGATGGAGAGGTGAGTCGAACCATAGACTCTGCACTTTTGGAATTTAAAAGTTTATCAAACTACAAAAGCTCTACTAGGACAGGAACAATTCTTTGTCTGTTTCCTACACTCATACTATATATTAGTAAATTCTCAAAACTGTCAGGTAGGACATGACCACCCCCCCCCCCCCCCCCCCCCCCCCCAACGTAGACTTCGTCCCTGGTAATCATGATACCCCCTAATGCAATAAAGTGAGGTTAAATATGACTAAGTATTGGAGTAAGCCTCATGATGTGATTGGGGGGGTGGGGGGTGGGGGGGTCATCCACATACACCCCTAGTGTGATGAGGTGGAGTAAAATTTGGCTAATTCCGAATAGGATGAGGAGGCCCCCTGATGTAATAGGGGTCTTTCGTATACCATTTCGCCATTAGTGGATGGAGTAATGACTAAGTTTGGAATACCCTTCGTAGTGTGATCCGAGGGGTAATCAGGATACCTCCTAGTGAAATAAAGTGACATGAAATTGGATTATAAATTACCTACCTTGGTGTGGTAAGGTAGGGGTTTGGAGATGGAGTACCCCTCCTGAAGTGAGAAAGGGGAGGTCATCACTCATCAGCATACCCACTAATGTGACGAGGTGGAGCAGAAATTGGCTAACTATGTAGGAGAGGAGGGTGATATAACGTGTAACTTTAGGTCTAACCCTAGTGTGATGAGGATGGGTCATCAATATACTTCTCTTGGTGTGATGCGAAGGGAGTTATTGACCATTACCCTAAGAGTCTTGTCATCTAATCTGCCACTTTTGTAATTTGGCTAAGTGTCAAGTACCTCTCTAGTGTGATGAAGAGGGGGGTTGACATACCCCTTAGGTTGACAAGCGGGAGGACATCAAATGGCAAGAGGGTAACCCATATCGCTCTCATGGTCATAAGTGATTAATTACTTTTGTCACTTTATTCATGTGATTTGAATATCCATCCACATGTGAAAAGGGGGGTCTTCATGCCTTATCCGTTTTTGTCATCCAACAGGCAAGTTTAGGGATGGCAATGGTTCGGGTTGGGGCGGGTTTTGTCAAACCCAAACCCATGGGTTTATCCGCCAAAAAAATCCGGGGTAAAACCCGTTGGGTTTGAAAAACTCATACCCAACCCAATTCGCTGGGTATCCGCGGGTTCATGGGTACCCGTGGGTTTTTTTAGTAAAAAATTTACAATAACAAGTTTCTTTTAAAATAAAAGTTTAGCATCAATTTTCTCATACAAATTAATCATACAAAAAACACCAATCTAGAGCATACAAGCAAACCGCAAATGATCAATACAAATTGTTCAAAATTAAAGATAAACATCTATAAACAATAAGATTAATTGAAAGTTTCTTCCTCGTGAACTAAGTTTCTTCATTCTTCACTTCATAATATCAACTTCATTCTAAACAATTAGAAAGAACAAATTATACATGTCTCCACAAACATAAAGAATATTAGTTATTTAAGGAAGATATATTATTTAAAATATTAAATACACCGGGAAAGTAATTATATGTGTGTGGGCGGGTACCAATGGGGCGGGTTTACCTAAACCTAAATTCAACCCGACCCGATGAATAGTGTAGCGGGTTTAAACCCGAACCCGGCCCAAAACCCGTCAACACGGGTTTTACCCGCGTTGACCGGGTTGGGTCGGGTGGGTACCCGTGGGTTCGGGTTTTGTTGCCATCCCTAGGCAAGTTACTAAGCTACCAAGTGGAGGGGGTCAAAGCTGAAGAGGGCGACACATCCAATGTCAGGGCATTGTCATGGTAGTTAAGAGGGTAGTCATCTCTCCATGTCGACTGAGCTGTTCCTCGAGGCAGTTACCTCTGCTGACTATAAATATGAGGTAAAGATGACATAGAAAATGTTTGCAAAAATCACAACTCGGTACCACTTGTCAAGTTTTTATTCGTTTTAAAATTTTAGTCATAGTCATAGTTTGGAGCTCTCACTGAATCTCCATAGGAGTACGGCTTAATGTAGTCTTTGTTTCATGAGTTGAAGAAACATCAAACACCCTTATTTGAACTTTGTTCAAAGAAGAGTGAACCTTGTTTAGTAACCGTTTGATTAGAAGTCAAAGGTGCAATCAATTCAATTTCAATGCAAATTTTCTTGTTAGAAAACATCTCCAAACCATGAAACTCTAATTTCTCCATCTCTTCCTCATATTTTGTTAGCCCTAACACAAATTACATGGAAAAAGGAGGAGTGGAGATAAAATGGCCTACCAAATAGAATTGCCACCGTGCAACCCCTCTTTCCAAGAGTTCTTTTGGAAGACGAAGAGTTCCATCAGTCAATTCTAGCTTTACATAGTGCAATCAAATATCTACGACAACTGAGAACAGATCCGCCAATGTCTTATCAGTCACTCTGGAGCTAGATGCAATTTCCTATTGAAAGAAGAAACCAACTATATTTCAAGAATTTAGGAAGTAAACAAGACCGAAAGAGAGCTCCATGAAAGATGCAATAAAACCATAAAAGGCTAGCAGATTACCCCAAAAAATGGCGAAAAGATGAACATGATGGACATGAGAGAAATCAAAACTTAAAAAAGAAATTCACAAAGCGAGGACCGCAAGTTTGCGAAGAAACCCATTGTCAGATCAATGGGGATTGATAAAGGACATCTGTTGCGCAAGAGGCACATGAGGTAGGAAAAATTGTTACATAAGGAGAGCTATCGGTTTAGAGAGAGAGAGACTGGAGGGAACTTCCCCGTATGTAACCCCTCTTTTTAATTATCATGTCATTTGTCCCCAATCATTCATGGATATATGTCTTTTTCATACACTATGTTTTAGTGTGTGAAGCAATGCTCTGAAATCCATACCGCTTAAGGGTTTTGGAAAGGTGCACGCATGTTTTGGTTGAGAGTTTAACCTCTTACATCAATGCCTGCATCTCATCCTGATTTTTTTAATTTTTTACCAATAACTTTTTTTTCCTATGTACTTGTAAATCTCACAAATTAAGATGAGATTTATAAACTTTTAATGGCTAGTGACATATGTAACAAATGCATCATAAAATATATTATCAAATTTATCATGCAAATAATAAACTCTACAGATTCAGATAATGGAATAAATCCATTTTAAATCCCAAAATTGTTTATTTTAAAACTCTCAATGTTTTCAAATTCCAAATCCATATTAGAGAGAGTGGTTCCACTTGCAATGGGTTTTATCCAACTGCATCTGGGTTCATAAATTCTTTCCTCAGACCCAGCAAGCTCTGAATGTGCGGAAGGGCGAGTGTATGGGGAGAGGTAGACTGAGAGTCGGGACCCCGAGGTAGAGGGAAGGTTTGGGTGGATATCTAATTTTTTGCTTCCGATTCCCAGGTAAGCTTCAGACCATGTACAATCCCAGCCAGCTCTGCACGTGTAATCGAACCCCCCAAAGGTTTGCTGAATAAGCTCGGATAAAACGACCATCGTCTCCCCACACGATGCCGCCCGCCGCCGTGCTGGAAGGAGAGTGAGCGACAGTTTCATCTGTGTTAAGACAAGTCCAGTCTTACCCGATGTTCGCGCGGTCCTGGGACCGATAACGAAAATTACAATATAAATGGACTACCACTGAAACTTGACGGGCTCCAGCATCAGCCCAACTCTCATTAAGTCACTTCGTGAGCCCAATCGTTCATCTCAACCCATTCTGCGAATCCATTTTCCCTTTCGGCTGGGAATCAAATTATTTCCGAGGGAAAAAAGGGGTGGAAACGAAGAAAGAAAGGTCCTTCTCCTTCAGTTCATTCATTGGTTTCGTGTCCAAGTGGAAGTCAATTAGGCAAAGAAGAGAATTGCATATGTTTCTCTCTCTCGGCCGTGGGCTTTTAGTGGTGGATCCACAGCCATCGTGGCTAACCCCACCATCATTGAAAGTTGAAACCCCGGCACGGCTGCAATTGCAACAGCAATGCGATTAGTTACTCGCCGGCCGGCCGGCCACCTTCCCAACCGACCGACGTAGAGCCGCCCTCTCCAAGTCCTTCTATATGGATATGGTAATGTTAAAAGTATAAAATGTACTCGTCAATAAAATTACTTTGTTAAGATATGATGTTATCTAGATGCATGTGATATATTTTGTTGCGTATAATCGTTTTAATATATTTGTAAACATTGATATCCACAATTTTCGTTAGGATTGGAAGTTTGGTTCTAGTATTTGAGATAATGCCGATACAATGTCGATATTTTAGAGTATCATTATGCTTATGAGATACTAGGACTGTCGTGTCGAGAGAACTAGCAGTTTCTGATTACTCAAATTGAGATGGGATCCCGTAAAAGATATAAGAAGACATAAGTTAAAGAATTGATTTCGAAAAATATAAGGATAGATATCTACCGTCTGTCAACTTTCTAGTGCTTTTAGAAATCCTTGTTTTAGTTACAAATTATGAATAAGTTGATCGACATGTGATGTTATTAAGGTCGGTGGCTAATTTAATTAGTTTCGCAAACTGATGGCATCGAATGAAATATTCCCGAATCGGTTCCCTCCATCTAAGTGTGGAAATTGGTACGATATCATTATTCCAATACCGAATACCAAATAGTACTCTAAACTCAATACCAATCTCAAAAAGGAATTTGGTATCCTAATTCTAATTCCTAAAATTTTGTTCGATATCAATGTAAACCATTTATCAAATTAATTTTCTTCAAAATTACAAACCAAATATACAAACACAAATACTTCTCATTTACGAGCACCTCTACAAACCATTCTTAAAATACATGAAAACAACAGTGGTGACAACAATCGTGCAAAAGAAATGTTAAAAAAATTCAAGTATAATAACAACATACTAGAAAAAGGTGGTGTCGAGAAAAACACATTAACAAACTGAAGCTAAAAATTGAAACATGACACTAAGCAACCCATAATCATAGCACAAGTAATAGATTGTGCTTGGCATGAGTTGTCAAATAGCGAGAGAATGAACAATCTAAGGAGGGTATGATAATACTAATAGTGAGTGAAAGAGCCTAGTTGGACTTGGAAGGAATAAAGTACACACTACTTTATATTTTCGATATTGATCGATATTTCTGTATATTACCAATACCAATCTTGAAATCCCTAATATCATATACACTTCAAATTCAATTCCAATCTCCTATTTTTAAGTAAATCTCATGAATTAATACATGTGTTCAATAATACTAAATATTTTTCACCCAAAAATAACAAAAAAATAACTAAATATTGACAAATTTGATACGAAAGTCGGTATATCCCAAATACTACCGCTAGCTCCGATCCAAACGAACGGGGTTAAAAATAACAAAATATATATGTCATGGTGCATCACATGCATCATCCTTTTAAATTTGTTCGGACCTCTGTGCTAATTAAGTTGAACACTCTAGGCGCCTCTCTCCTTCTCTCTACCCAACCCATTTTGGAGACTTTCCGCCACTCCGCCGTCTCTCATCCTCCCACCGTCATCCGGTGATCAAATTCATTGGGACTGGTTATTACCTGCGGCTGACGAAGGAGCGGAGTTGGATTTATAGCGGAAAAAGATGTGGCGGTGTGTCGCTCGGGGCCTTCGCGTTCCTTCTTCTTCTTCCTCTGCCAAGCGATCGATCTCTAACGACTCGATAAGATCTCACATTACTCGATTCTTCTCAACCAGCACGGTACGGCCTGCGTTCCTCGTTTCTACTGGATTTTCCGTTTGTTCTGATGTGCTCTAATTTCCATTTGGTGGATCGAGCGAAATTTTGGAATTAATGTTGGTTTTCTGTGTGTGTGGTTTTCTTGGTTCTGGAAAACTGATGGTTTGTGATACTGGGGTGGGTTGCAGAATTCTTCGTATACAATTGTTGATCACACCTATGACGCGGTTGTGGTAGGAGCTGGTGGCGCGGGGTTGAGAGCAGCCATCGGTCTATCAGAGCATGGTTTTAACACTGCTTGCATTACAAAGCTTTTCCCTACCCGCTCGCACACAGTTGCAGCTCAGGTATAGTTTATGGTGTTGGGTTCCCTTGTTATTAAGAGCTTTGTGCTCTGATTTTCCTTGCTCTTGTATTGAATGTTCTATGAATTTTGAAATGGCAAAATGTACATGGTCAGTCACTTAGTGTCGTTTCATTCTGTTGTTCTGCACCCTTGATCAAATACGAAGGTTGGATGATGAGGCTATTAGATAAGCCTCTGTCTAATTGTCCATGTTGTTTCGGATTGTTAAGGGAATCTTATGTTTATACCTCATATAGTTGCCTTGAGCTGGTGAGGAGGGCATTGCTTTCGCCACCTAATGGTACCGTAGGAAATCATGGCGTTGTCTGCTAGCTTCTAAATTACTTATCCTGGTTTAATGGCACAGGGCGGTATCAATGCTGCTCTTGGGAATATGACCGAGGATGATTGGAGATGGCACATGTATGACACAGTCAAGGGCAGTGACTGGTTAGGTATGCTTCTTTTCCTTCTATATATTATTTTATCTTGTGAGTTGCTTGAAATGGCCATTTACAAACGGGAAAGCTGTTTACATAATTTTCTAGTTTTCCGATACTTAAGGGATTGTTGGAAGTCTTCTCTATCATCATAGGGCTGCTTTTCCTGTAATAGAACTCGGATATGCGATTCCTTTTTGGCCCTCGTCTTCATCTTCAAATCTTTGAGCTGTAGATTAATGTCCAATAATGTGTCAACAGGTGATCAAGATGCCATTCAGTACATGTGTCGTGAAGCACCAAAGGCTGTCATTGAACTTGAGAACTATGGGTTACCATTTTCTCGTACAGAGGACGGGAAAATCTACCAGCGAGCATTTGGTGGTCAAAGTTTAGATTTTGGAAAAGGTAATGGGAAAACCTCAATTTTAATCTTGGTCTATAAACTTAATGGATTGGCTGTTGCAATAGGCTTATGACAATGGAATCTTCTATTCTTGATGTAATTGATTCAGGTGGACAAGCCTACCGTTGTGCTTGTGCTGCTGACAGAACTGGCCATGCTCTTTTGCATACTCTCTATGGCCAAGCAATGAAACACAATACTCAGTTCTTCGTGGAATATTTTGCTTTGGACCTGTTGATGAACAGTGATGGTACACATGTGTCCCTCCTCTCTAAGCATATTATTGTTGGATTGTGATGGAGCTTGATAATTTCTTCCCATTAGTCTTGGACTCGGGAGTCATCGTACCAAGGGCATGAATCCTGTAAATCATCATTTCTGCATTTCGCATGTTTGTTGCATTTGTCATGCTTTTATGCCGACATCTCTTTGGTATATTCACTTGCTTTTACATTATGCTGACAAGCCATTCTATAGTTTCATTTTAGCCTCACTTTGAACTTGGGAGTAATTGTCAGTTGTCTTTTTATTCAGGAACATGTCAAGGGGTTATTGCCCTTAATATGGAGGATGGGACATTACATCGCTTCCGGTCCTCTTCGACTATTCTTGCTACCGGGGTATTATTTTTAATTGATATCATTGCTTTTAGGTAAAATCACTTTAGGCCTTCTATAATTATGCATCAACTTCTTTTGAGTTCAGGGCTACGGTAGAGCATACTTCTCTGCGACCTCAGCTCATACATGCACAGGAGATGGCAATGCCATGGTTGCAAGAGCTGGACTTCCTCTTCAGGTTATCTATAATTCTTGTTTTTGGAATGCTCCCTATATGGAATAACCTCCCTGTCTATTTTAACATTGTTGGTGACTTGTACTGATGCAGGATCTGGAGTTTGTGCAATTCCACCCTACAGGCATATATGGGGCTGGATGCCTTATTACTGAAGGTTAGAACCTTTTCAAACCCATGGAAATCTCTAAGCCTGTCCTTAATTGTCAGTTTCTGTCCTTCAATATTACTATCTACTTCTGTTGGGGGTGGTAGTTTGCTCTAGTCCGAAGTGGATGTTTTTCTTTTCTCATGATACCTGTGATGTGTAGGATCTCGTGGTGAAGGTGGTATCCTTAGGAACAGTGAAGGGGAAAGATTCATGGAAAGGTATGCCCCTACTGCTAAGGATCTTGCTTCAAGAGATGTTGTTTCAAGATCCATGACCATGGAAATTCGGGAGGGTCGTGGTGTAGGTATGATTGATTCGCTTGTTTTTTCATACTTCATGCTTCAGTCTTCTTTTCGTGGTTGTGGATATCCTTATTAGTCATAGTGAAAGAAACACAGATTTGGGGAAGAATCAAGAGAGAAGTTGAGAAGAAGATGAGAATTAGTGATTGAGAGTTGAGAGAATTAGAGAAAGATAGAGAGATTTTGAATTAGGGATTTGATAATAATTCTTTGCTTAATCTGAAAATGAGAGGGTTCTCTATAATATATAGTCACTGTCAAATAACAAAACGCTACCCAACTCCATCTCTCTACTCGGCCGACTCCCTCCCCAAACCCGGCCTAGGCCGTGTTTCTAACACATAGGCATGATAGGTTATTGTTCTCGCACAGTAATGCTTCGAAGTTGACAAAATATACATGGATTAGTGAGCAGAAAACTATATTCAGTTTAGTTATGTTGAGTCATAGTTTATCTGTTGTTCAAGATTAACAAGTCAGATGAAGACCACTCAAACTTTCATGAAGCTGGTAGAAAATTTCTATACCTGATGTTTATACCACCTTTTGTGAATTGTGACTAACTGAAAGTTTATGCATTCTCTCCCAGGGCCATTGAAGGACCATATCTATCTGCATTTAAATCATTTGCCACCAGAAGTACTCAAGGAGAGACTTCCTGGTATCTCTGAAACTGCTGCAATTTTTGCTGGAGTAGATGTTACAAAGGAACCAATCCCTGTTCTTCCTACTGTGCATTATAATATGGGCGGAATCCCCACAAATTATCATGGAGAGGTACAACTTAGGGAACTATATCCAATTTATTCTACATGAGTTTCGTGATATATGACAAAAACCAAGGACGAGGGTCAAGAAATATGCAAATGCCAAAAAGCAGAAACAACATTAGGTGTATTTGCCTTGATTACTTGAACCATTAACATATGGGCTGATTGGTATCTAATCTCTTGTCGTATATTTGTCCCTCAGGTGGTTACTGTGAAAGGCAGCGATGCAGATGCTGTAATCCCTGGTTTAATGGCTGCTGGAGAGGCAGCATGTGCATCTGTTCATGGAGCAAACCGACTTGGTGCAAACTCTCTTCTTGATATTGTTGTTTTTGGTCGTGCTTGTGCCAACAGAGTGGCAGAGATCCATACACCGGGCAAGTTGATAGTTTTAGTTTGATAAAGTGACTAGTATCCATGACCCAAAATTTAATAATGGGAGTTTCGGAAAATAATGGTTCCACTTGTCTACCTTTGCAGGAGAGAAACAGAAGCCTTTGGAAGCAGATGCTGGAGAGAGGACTGTTGCGTGGCTTGACAAAATTAGAAATTCAAATGGTTCGCTTCCAACTTCCAAAATTCGGTTAAATATGCAGAGAGTGATGCAAAATAATGCTGCAGTCTTCCGTACGCAGGAAACTCTGGAAGAAGGTACGTCATTTTTCGTAATGTCTTATTCCATTCCCTTTGTCTATGACACAATTTGTTACGTCTCTTCCCAGAGGAAAAGTTGTTATATCCCTGCGCGTTATTGCTCTTCTCAATCGCAGGTTGCCAGCTGATTGACAAAGCCTGGGATAGCTTCCATGATGTTCAGCTGCAAGATAGAAGTTTGATATGGTATATGTTTAAACCAAGATCGATTGATATTTGACCATACAATTTGATTTTTTTTTCCCCTCGTGATTTGACAAATTTGGGTTGATGTGTACAATCTGGATTATGTAGGAACTCCGACTTGATTGAGACGATAGAACTGGAAAACCTCCTGATCAATGCATGCATCACAATGCATTCTGCTGAAGCTCGGAAAGAGAGCAGAGGAGCACATGCTCGCGAGGACTTCACTGTGAGTTCAATTCCATTTCTCTGGCTTCAAATTATCAGCATTCCTTTATGGGGCAGTCGGTGTTAATATCCTTCTCTTGTTGCACTGGTGCAGAAAAGAGACGATGAGAAGTGGATGAAGCATACTTTGGGGTAAGTCTCTTAATCCCCTACTGGAGTAGAGTAGCTATATTGCAATAGGAGAGCTAATGGATGATTGATCATGCCGCCTTTGTTTCTTTTGGGTGTTCCAGATATTGGGAAAACGAGAAAGTGCGACTCGAATACAGGCCAGTCCACATGAACACATTAGACGACGAGGTGGAAACGTTCCCACCTAAAGCTCGTGTGTATTGATCGTATAGATAGTTTCCTTCCTTCAGCGCAGTGACACTGAGGAATGAATGGCCGTTTTACCGGAATGGGCAACAAAAACATGGCGCAATAACCCCCTAGGACGCCAATAAATTATAGACATGCTGCAATAATTTGCTTGTAGGAAGAGCCTCTTTGGCAAGGAGGACTGGTTGGGTTCATTCTTCTGGAGATTTCAGCAACATTTAGGATCGGATTTGGTAAAAAGGATTATTCGATGTAAGTTATTAAAAATCATTGTCAGAGAAGTGTTTGTTTGATTGTTTCACCTTTTAGGGGTCCTTTGGATAGGAGATTGTAGTGAGAGATTTTAAAACAATCAAGCGTTTGGCAAGCTGAGTGTTTTTGCAATTAGGGATTTGAAAAACTCTCAAATGTGGATTTCTGAAATAGCTTATAGGGATTAGCTATATCTAAATCCTTGGTTCTTGTTTTATTTTTTCCAACGCCTACCCTCATCCCTTCTTCTTCGGAATAGGTTGTTAGTATATACTAACTAATATCCAAAATGTATGAACTAGTATCCAACTCTGTTGAATTTACCAACTAATATCCACAATCAAACCAACTAGTATTTAACCAATCAATTACCAACTAATATCCACAGTCATACCAACTAGTATTCAATATGGATACTTTTATGTGTTATATGGGTACTAATTATGTTCTGTATGGATACTATTATGTGTTGTCTATATATTAGTTTGTGAATTTGGGATAATAGTTGATTAATGGTGGATATCAGTTAGCAAATCTTGAATACTAGTCTGCACTCTCTAGATACTTTAGTACTTGGACACTAATTTGTGTATTTTGGATATCAGTTAGTATCAGTTAGCAGATTTAACTTTTTCGCTTCTTCATCCTTCTTCATTTTTCCGGATAATCCTTCTGCATCCCAATGCCTTTGCAAAGCCAACAAAATGTCCATGCCGCCGATGGTGAAGCTAGGCAAAATTGAACATGCCATCCTCCTCATTGACACCTAAGGCGCATTGGAGATTGCCGAATAATCCCACCCGTTCTCCTCCAATTTCACCAATGAACAGACCTTCAATCTACCTGCCTCCACTCGCGGGTGAACTTCGTCTAAGGATGTCAGTCCTTTCTGGAGAGTGATTGATGTCGACGCCGGAGATGAAAAAGAGAGAGGAGAAGATGAGGAAGGGAGCAGGTCGTCGAGGATGAAGCTGGGACTGTTCTTCGTCATTAGATTCATCTAGATCTGGAGATTAATTGGCGACCAATCCCCTCATTCCAGCCGCCATTCTGGGCTCGTTCTCTACCAGAAGAAAGTCGTCGTTGTTGCCGTCTTCTTCTCCCTTCCTGCGATTCCCTCCCCTGCTGTTCAAGCGAGCACACCCGACATTGATGAAGAACACGGGTTTTTCGTTGGCATGCGGATCCAGATGTGGCCGATTTCTGGCGACGGGGAGATTTTATGTTATGGGTTTCATCAGCCGCTCTACATATCCGATCAATCGTTTCATGATTTATGGTTCAAGATAGTGGAAATCGAATGGAGACGGTAGAGGAAAGGGAAGAAGAAGAAGAAGAAGAAGAAGAAAGAAAGAAACGCAGATGGGTACAATTGTAATTTTGATGATCTTATTATAATTCCTCATTTATTGCCAAACAAGTTATTTGGGTCAAATCCTACATTTAGGGGTCGTTTGCTTCAAGGATTTGGTACATGGATTTGGTACCAAAAAACCAACTATCAAGGATTTAGGTAGAATTCGTTGTTTGCTTGCATCTTTTTTGGAGACCAAATCCGTGGGGCCCACGGATTTTAAGAGTCCAAATCCGTGGACCCCACAGACTTATAAATCCCACATGTTGATGTGGGATTTGGAATATGACATAAATCCTTGATGACATTTTACCCATATACCCTCATGCACTTTTAATATTCCAAGGTTGCTCTCAAATTTAACTCTTATACATTATAATTAACAATAAATGAATAATATAAACGTTCAATTAATGTGCAAACATGAGTTAGATTTTTTATATAATTTCTTGTGTTCTAGTTTTCTTTGACCTTTTCATGGAAGGTGTAATACTTTATTCTCCCGATTCTAATATATGTTGTTATATGTTACTTTTGAAAAGGAGGACAAAGAATTGGTAATTGATTATGTTACGTTAAAAGTTAAAACGGAATTTTCTCATTTATTATTATTGTCCATGTGGCAACATTATGCTTATTAGTATGTATTATCCTTGTTTTGTGTACATATCATAAACATGTCAAACATATAGAAAATGATAGTAAGGTAATTTTGAAGTTTTGTCCTTGTTTTGTGTACATATCATAAACATGTCAAACATATAGAAAAGGGCAGTAATGTAATTTTTAACTTCAAGTAGTAAATCCCACACCTTTAAATCCATGATAAAAACATCCCAACAAACAAAGGATTGTTACAAATCCATGATGCCTCAAATCCTTGATAAATCCTTGGGTTTTTAAATTACAAAACCCTCGTTTATAAATCCATGAAGCAAACGACCCCTTAAAATATCTAGTTTTTAATTGAGGAATTTTAACCCAAATCCCTCGTTTACACATTTCCTCATCCAAACGACCCCTTAAAGTATTTTCATCTTTGGACACAAGTTTCATTGAACTTTTCCCGAAGAAAACAAAGGGTGAATGCCACATTTGGTCACTGAGATTACTAAATCATGTCATGTTTAGTCACTAGAAATGATTTATACTAATTTTGGTCACTCGAATTACTAAAACATGTCACATTTAGTCCGTCTCCCGTTAGTTTTCGTCCAACTTCATTAACGGAGTTGGACGGAGGCTAACGAAGAGTGACTAAATGTGACATGTTTCAGTAATTCTAGTGACATTCATAAAAATAAATAAAAAATCGAGTGACCGGAGTTGGACGGAGGCTAACGAGAGAGTGACTAAATGTGACCTGTTTTAGTAATTCGAGTGACCGAAATTGATATTGATTTTTTCTGGTGACTAAACATTACATGATTTAGTAATCTCAGTTACCAAATATGGCATTACTCGAAACAGTTCCATATGAATTTGCCAAAAGTGCCATTCACATCAGAAAGCTCACCTTTCTTATGGATACTTTACTGTGGTTGGAAATTGTTATGGGATCGATATACCGATTAAATCTCAAAAGATATCGTATACGTCTCAACTCTCAAGATTAACCGCGATCCCAAAAAATTAGGTTTTGATCCAATTGAACGATGAAAACGCAGAAACCTTACAGTCCGTTTTTTGTTCTCATCTTCTGCTGGCCGTACCAAATTATCAAATTAATTGTTGGATATAATACTTGTGGGTGTAATTATGGAGGAACAGGATGCTAACAGTCGGTGAAATGGTGAATTTGTTTGGTTTACATATATTTACTTAGACCGTTATATATAGGTTAATTTGTTTTGTGATTTAAGTTCTCAGATTGTTTATATCTTTTGTGTCCTATTTTTTACATGTATTCCATAATATTAAGTTCACAAGACTTAAAAATCAATTGAACAAGTTTCCTATTCGATCGAGTAGCTAATCCTAAATAATTTATCTAGCATCATTACAAATACCTATATCATACTTTCAACTCTATATGTGACTAATCGCACATAACTTTGATATCGAGTGTTTAATTTCTCTATATCACTATGCAACATGATTAGAGTGTAGAAACATACACCAAAATCGAACAAATGAGAGTGCCGCCATGAAGTTTGGTCTCCTTGTTGGTGTCCTTTGGACAGCGACGGTCGTCCCCTCCCAGCACTGAATCTCTCTCTCTCTCTCTCTCAATCAATCTTCAAGCTGCTGCTTTATATAATTCATTCATCGAAAGATCCATCCACAGTGCCCAACGGAACAATATATGTTCACATTTCAGAAGCCACAATCATTCTCTCTTGGAAAGCGAAGAGTTCTGTTCGTTACAGCAAACCTTGGCTTCTTCCACCGTCGCTTTCCTCCGCATTTATTGACTACTGAACTAAATTGGGATGGGTAAAGTGATCTTCCTTAGCTTACCAATACCACCCCACTTTTCACTTTTGGGTCCAACATTCATACAATACAAGGTTTACATGTAGTCATGTGGCTACTTGTACAGCAGAACGTTAAGCTGGATTCTAGTCAGCGGCGGATACAGGGGAGTCGCCCGGGTTACGGTTCAGCTCTTTATTGTATCTCGAGCTTAGTATAGCACATGCAATTTCCGATTTTTTGTATTCGTTTTAGTGTTTTTCACGTTACGGCTCACTCCTCTTTACTTTTTTTTTCAAATGTGACCCAGTGCTCTACCTTATCCTGGATCCGCCGGTCAGGGACGGAACCAGCTTTATGGGAGGATGGGGCCATGGCCCCCCCTAAATTTTTTGGTAGTCATTTTATACATATAGATGGAAGGTAGTTTTGGTGGGAGACTGGGAGTTCTTGGTCTAGCTTAGTGGAAACCCTCCTAAATTGTTACTTTACTCACAATTAGCAAGAACTCTATTGAAACCCAACATTCTGCTTCATATTATACGCCTAAAAGAAAACTATAATAATTTTAATTGAATCATTTTGCTACTCTAGTCCACTATAATTAATATTTTTTACATGCTATTAATTAAAGATGTGTGGTGGGGGAAGTCTATACACGTATTAATAATTATGGTGCATCTTGTACCTATGAATTCAAAGAAGAATAGAGTACGTAATCATGAGTTTCCTTTTCTTGTTTTATAACTGTTAGTTAAGTTTATTGTCATACATTATCAATATGTCAACCATAATTTGATCGACATTGTAAGAACCAGTTGATTCTAGAAATATAAGTTGTCACGAGAGATTCAATAATGGATACGATACCACATATTAGCACGCCTCTTCAAACGAAAGTCACTAACATGTGCTTCGAGTTTCACACATCCGAAATACTATGTGCTTAACAATTGAGGTTGTCAGGATTGGAATAGTAGACCTTTCGGTTACA